CCACACAAGAACTATGTGACAAATGCACAAGCTTCAATAACCGACTCGGTCAACTGGAAGAAAGAGTATCAGTGATTGAAGATCAAATGAATGAAGTGAAATGAGAAAAGTTTAGAGAAAAAAGAGTAAAAAGAAATGAACAAAGCCTCCAAGAAATATGGGACTAAGTGAAAAGACCAAATCTACATCTGATTGGTGTACCTGAAAGTGCTGGGGAGAATGGAACCAAGTTGGAAAACACTCTGCAGGATGTTATCTGGGAGAACTTTCCCAACCTAGCAAGGCAGGGCAACATTAAAATTCAGGAAATACAGAGAATGCCACAAAGATACTCCTCGAGGAGAGCAACTCCAAGACACGTAATTGTCAGATTCACCAAAGTTGAAATGAAGGAAAAATTGTTAAGGGCAGCCAGAGAGAAAGGTCGGATTACCCACAAAGGGAAGCCCATCAGACTAACAGCAGATCTCTCGGCAGAAACTCTACAAGCCAGAATAGAAAGGGGGCCAATATTCAACATTCTTAAAGAAAAGAACTTTCACCCCAGATTTTCATATCCAGCCAAAGTAAGTTCCATATGTGAAGGAGAAATAAAATCCTTTACAGACAAGCAAATGCTGAGAGATTTTGTCACCACCAGGCCTGCCCTACAAGAGATCCTGAAGGAAGCACTAAACATGAAAAGGAACAACAGGTATCAGCCGTTGCAAAAACATGCAAAATTGTAAAGACTATCAATGCTAGGAAGAAACTGCAACTAATGAGCAAAATGACCAGCTAACATCATAATGACAGGATCAAGTTCACACATAACAATATTAGCCTTAAATGTAAATGGGCTAAGTGCTTCAATTAAAAGACACAGACTGGCAAATTGGATAAAGAGTCAAGACCCATCAGTTTGCTGTATTCAGGAGACCCATCTCATGTGCAGAGACACACATAGCTCAAAACAAAGGGATGGAGGAAGATTTACCAAGCAAATGGAAAACAAACAAAGGCAAGGGTTGCAGTCCTAGTCTCTGATAAAACAGACTTTAAACCAACAAAGATCAAAAGAGACAAAGAAGGCCATTACATAATGGTAAAGGGATCAATTCAAGAAGAAGAGCTAACTATCCTAAATATATATGCACCCAATATAGGAGCACCCAGATTCATAAAGCAAGTCTTAGAGGCTTACAAAGAGACTTAGACTCCCACATAATAATAATGGGAGACTTTAACACCCCACTGTCAACATTAGACAGATCAATGGGTCAGAGAGTTAACAAGGATGTCCAGGAACTGAACTCAGCTCTGCACCAAGCGAACCTAATAGACATCTACGGAACTCTCCACCCTAAATCAAGAGAATATACATTCTTCTCAGCACCACATCTCACTTATTCCAAAACTGACCACATAGTTGGAAGTAAAGCACTCCTCAGCAAATATAAAAGAACAGAAATTATAACAAACTGTCTCTCAGACCACAGCACAATCAAACTAGAACTCAGGACTAAGAAACTCAGTCAAAACCGCTCAACTACGTGGAAACTGAACAACCTGCTCCTGAATGACTACTAGTACATAATGAAATGAGGGCAGAAATAAAGATGTTCTTTGAAACCAGTGAGAACAAAGATACAACATACCAGAATCTTTGGGACACATTTAAAGAGGTGTGTAGAGGGAAATTTATAGCACTGAATGCTCACAAGAGAAAGCAGGAAAGATCTAAAATTGACACCCTAACATCACAATTAAAAGAACTAGAGAAGCAAGAGCAAACACATTCAAAAGCTAGCAGAAGGCAAGAAATAAC